CGGAAAGGAAGTGGGTCTTGGAGCAGGGTCAAGCGAGGCGTTCGAGGAAAATTTGGAAATACGACCCCCCCCCCCCACCACCCTCCGCCGGAGGCCGAAGTCCATGAAACAACCCTCTTCAAAAGCCGAACTATGAAAAGGTTGAAAAGTTGTTTAATTCTCCCCCAAAACTGCTCATAAAAAAGCCCTGCTACCCCACCGCCCACAAAAAAATTCGTTTAAGAAGTACAAAAGTGAAAAAGTCAAAGAATAATCATTATTGATGAGTCCTACCAAACGAGCAAACGAGAAACAGACCAAAAAACGACAAACTAGCCACTAAAAATGGCATACTATGACAACATCTGTTCTTTATTTATTTCCTCCACAAGACTTACCAAATTCTAGTACTACACAGATTGTGGTTCTCAATTTGCACGTAGCCCTTCAGTTGAAAGAAGCTTTTTAACCGCCTTCGCCAGCTGTGTGTTGACTGGACTTTGGCGTTGACCGTGGAGCAGCTTATTTACTATTGAAATTTGAACAAATATTCAAATGATTATAACTTTCTTCAAATATGACGAATTTTCAATCTGAAAGCAGATTTGGAAGTTTTGTGAAGAGCTTTTTCTAATCAGTATGAAATTACAAAAAGTTATAAGAAATAACAAATTTAGGTCAATTAACGAGGAAAATTCGAGATGAGCACGAGTTTTTACACTTTCCGGAGCAATAACTTGCTTCATTTCCGTCAAATTCAAAAAGTTGATATGTCATACAAAACTAGAAGATTTTCTCTATCAAACGGTTGCTAAAGCAGCTTCATACGTCCAGTATTCAAAAAATGGCCACGTTGAGGATTTTTGCAAAATTAACGAGGAAAATTTGTGATGAGTGCGAGTTTTTTTACTTTCCTAAAGCCATAACTCCGTTCAAACTCATCCAATCCGAAAAGTAAATACGCCATCATAAACTAGAAGATTTGCTCTATCAAATTTACTAGAACTGCTCCAAACGTCCAGTATTAAAAAAACGGCTACGTTGAGGATTTTCGCACGAGTACCGCCGAAAGGTACTTTTTCGCTACATTGGCACTATTTCAACGGCTGTATATCCTTTTAAGGGCGATTATGTACTAAAGTAAGAGCAGATTTGGAATCACTGCTTTTCTCTTTCTAAGAAAAGTGATTGATTAGCGTTTCTCAACTTTAAAGGTTACATGTTTATAAATTTAACCCTGAAGAGTCCGTTAACGCAATGTTGAATGGTGTACACCTCCCTGTAAATGCGCACGGACACTTTCAGAATTCTCTCGATTGTTCCTGAATTGAGGTTGTTTGTCCAAGGAGCCGTAGTTGGAGCGCGCGCAACAACTAGACCCTTTCTCGGATGCGCCGTGTACCTCACATCCCTTCAGATTCGGGGTCTTACTTGAAAGATGAAATATCTCTTGGAAAGCGTGCGAAATTCAGATTCTTTAACTTGTGTGGTGATAAAACACTGAAGTAACTAAGAATTACCGGACGCCTCAGAATCACGAAAATTTTGTGTGGGTGAAATATCATTTTCATTGGAAATCCTCTGGCCTGGCATCGACTCATCCTTGATATTTGTCTTCCGACGGTGATGATCCCACTGCATCAAAATGGCTCGATCTCTTCCACCCAGCGGGCCAATACGACCCCCCCCCTGCGACGTGTCGAGGATTCCTCAACGCACGCTTGACCCTGTCTGAGCGAGCGCGTAAGCGCATATGAGCGCTTCGTATAATGTATGCTAACACGCTGGGGCATTATAGACCTGTTTGTTTTTGGTGACTGTCTAAGACTATTGACCTACGGTGTGCATTGACATATTGTTTCTCTCTCTTCGGTCTGTGTGTGGTGGGATATGAACAACTTTAGTTTTCTTTCTAAAACTCTATGGTTAATCTCTCTCTGAAAGCAGTCCTCAGAGTCTTCTGCGTAATATTTTGTATTGAGGCAAAGATTTCCAACAGCGATCTTTAAATAGATAATCAACAGACAAAACCAAGATGCGCTTTTTATGGCCTTTCCTTCTGTCATTTAGTATGACTCCCTTGCAAAATAATTACTGCAAGAACTATTTTTCTTTAAAAATCGTGGTTATATTTGCACCAGCCAGGTAATCACCTCACCAGACCATAGCGATAACAGACGTGGAGCCATCAGCAGAGTAAACAAATAAATACTGAGATGCTAATAGAAAACTTTGACCCAATTCACAAGATTGACAGTAACCTGTTTTGGGTCAGTATGAACGATAGACGAAGACTTGGTGACTTTTGACCGTGCTAAGGACGATAATATCTGCCTTTTTCCCTACTGGGCATTCTTCTCAATATTGTCGCTTTCAATGGCGAGGTGTAGAAGAAAAGTTTTTAAGAATTGAATGCTGATTGCCTTTTGGACGATTGCCAAAATTTCGTGCATAATTTCCAGCCAAAGATATATGGAATGATAAAAACACGTGTTTATGATTCTTACCTGAGGCTGGACAAAGCTCTTGAAACATTTCCTGCTCCAGTGCATGTGTGGCTATTTCCTGAACCAGCATAAGCTAGGACCTTCCCATTAGTTCATAGAACAGGAATTGTCCATAAAAATTGTTTTGTAAGCCCAGAATCTGTGTATTGGTCAATTCGAGGAAGGGGGGTAGGCCCAATCTGCGCATTATGCAGGGCTTTTCTGGTCTGCACGTAACCCTTGAGAGAGCAGCGGCGTAAGAGGCAGAGCAAATCACCAGCCTGTGCAAGGATCTTACAGTCAACCATGAGACCTGCACATTATGGTACAGGGACTTAAATGGACGGGCAAATCGATGTAGGTCTCCAGTCTGTTCCAAGATGTTCGCGGAGCAGAGCAGAACGAGGCCGCAATCGATGCGTATGTTCTAGGTGTGCAGCTAGCTGCGAATCCGCTGAGTATAAACGTAACTTCGTGGTGAACTGAAATATCCAAATTCTGACCAAATTTGAACCGAAAAAATGGCTCACAAAATTTAACTCTTCCGTTTTCAGCGAGACCGTCCTGTCTTCGCTCTCCATGCCCATCAACGGTGTTGGCATCTTGTACTTCGAGATTGGCAACGACATGTGCCCGTCGCTGATCGGCAAGGAATTCCTTCACAAGAGCGGCGCTTGCCGTAAGCATCGCGTTTAAATGCTCAACCCTTCTGGTTGAGGGAGCTTCTCACAGTGAGCAGTTACCGTAACTGCTCCACATAAGTGTTCCATCATTCTTTCTGTCTCTTATAATGCATGGGTTGCGAGGGCATCGCTTTGACGTACTATAATATAGGAATTTTCATGTTGCTTGTGTATGGGTTACATTATTGATTTATCGATTGTTTCTTCATAAAAACACACCATATTTGACGGGGATCATACGCACGCTTCAAACAAAACATCTTTTAAAATTCTTAAATTTTTTCTTTGATGTTTCGTTCTCGTTCCATAGAATTTTTCTGTATTATTATGTCGGGTAAACGTGCGCATTTTCCGGCACATCTAACGTTCACGTACAGCGAGGACTCTGTCCTTTGGGAATCACACGGGTTTGCACAGGATCTTCTTGTTCTTCTATAGGTTGTAAATGTGGGTGTAGTGTGTTGCGTTGATCGCATGCATCACAAAACTGCCACTTTAGCTGGTTGTACGGTAGCGCCGCACGCGACCGCCCGCGTGTCTTTCGTTGATCTCGTTCTTTTGGTAGCGCTGGCCATCACTTACATTGAAACCGTACACCACTTGCAGAAGAGCTCGTTTCTGTATTGCGATGCTTTGCCAGGGGCAGAGTCCTAGCTAGCTTAAGAAGCTCTCCATCCCCTACTCTTTCACATCATTCTTCTTCCTTCATTCATTGTTTGTTATTCGATTGACTTGTCGATTTTCCTATGCGAATTGTACAGTGTTTTTACTTCGCTAATTATCTAATGATTAAGGTCCTGTGTTTATAGAAGATCGTCATACGGAAAATTTTGCATCTTACAACAGCCTATTATGCATAGCGTAATGCCGTAATTGTTGGCGATTTTTATTTTCACGGAATAAAATTTACAAAATAATTCTTGTAGTTCATTTAAAGTGCAGAACGTCCGATGGAACGAAATAAAATGGTCTGCAGTACCGATCCAGTGAAAGGTGTGATAGACAACCCGTTACGTGATGGGAACTTGCAAGGTCAACGCGCAATCTCGAAGTGAGTAACGGGCGTTTCTGTTCACGGCGTGACGCGGATGTCCCCTTTGCAGGCCACGTGGGGCAGTGTGACGCGGGTGCGCGCCTTATCACCACTTATTGGTAACAACCAGCTCAAAACTACGTATAGCGTTCTCTACAGCGTAAAAGCAAACAAAATTTGCGCTATCAAACTTCCTAGTGATTGGGTTTCTATGATGCTACATCAACAGGTAACTTTACGCATTGAATAGCGCTAAATTAATTTGTGGTGTTCATGTGTTGCATACATTTCACCTAACATCCACGGATGTGAGGTGGGTTGGCCGCACCAACGCACGCGTCTGTCCCACGCGGCCGAAAAAGCCAAAACGCGCGCCTTCGTCAAGCATAAAAATTGACGAGGGTGCTATGAGGGGGGAGGAGCTCCCATTAGAGACGCAACGTGACGGTTGTCCTATAGCAGACATACGTGATTCAAGAACAAAAAGATTACATGCGCAGGCAATTGTGTAGGTCAAATACGAAGCCAAATGAGCGTCAGAGGAGGATTCCACTATAAATTGGAAGTCGAGGAAGCGACTATAGTGGAATCCTCCTCTTTACCTACCTGAAAGAAAGGCAGACCTCTAAGGGTGCGAGTCTATGCACAATTCCCTGCAAAGGCGCTTAACGACCCTTAGCCGCGAAGCTCGTGGCTCTCCACACCTACCGTCGGCTGGCTTCTCCCTCGACGTCGGACTATAGCTGTTTTGAGCCAGAGCGCGATCGTGTTGATGACGCTAGCACCGATGAGACTCGCCCCAACACAGGAACGAGGGGGAATACGAGCCGCACTTATGGGTTGCAGGAGTTGCGCTAGCTTTTTTCTTGCTCTGTACTCCATTGAGCACCCTTACATTCACTTCCAACTGACGATCAATTTATCGCGAAATCTGCCTTCAAAATAGAGTTGGAAGAACATTATCAAGAAAAGCTTACCGATGCCAAGGCCTCGATAATAAGTGCTTGGACATAGGTGATGCTTTGGACAGGAGAAAGCGACTACACCAGACATGAACAGCAGACCTGCAACGGCGCGGGATTAACACAAGGAACAAGAAGAAGACCAAAAAGTACGTACACAAGTTTCTCCTCTACATTTTGAAATGAAGTTGTGAGGACTGCTTTTCTTCAAAAAATGGATCAACATTGGACTGAATATTCTTTTCTTTATGATTTTGCTTACTACCCCATGTTTTTGTCGCGGAATTTGTCGTGGTGCACACAGATGAACAAAATGTTCAGTCTTGGGTGCTAAATCAACTCGCACCGAAAGTGTGAGGACCGTAGGGTCCACGTGACTATAAAAATGCACATTGAGTTACGGGAACGTAATGGACAGACACAGAGCCTAGATGTGAAATAGGTTTCGTCCTATTCAAAGATTTTCTATACTCTTGGTGAAGTAACGGTACATTTAGGACTAGTTAGGTGTTATCACTGGCTTTTATGGACAAAAATTTTTCCCACTCTCCTGCCAATTATAGATGGAATGTTTTTCAAGGGCATACATAGCACCTTCTCTTACCGAATTGCCGCCAAGGTCGGTTTCATGGCTTCCCTACCGTTTGAATGTCAACCTCGGGTTTTTTACGGTTCGGCAGGAGCAATCTAAATGCTCGTGGTCCGCCGAGTGGAATTTGAATTTGTGCTGGTGCCAATCTCTAAGCTATCGGGGTTTTTCAAATAAACAGTGAAAACTGCGCACTTCAACGTATAAAATAAGCACTGACAATGGTAGCATATCACAACCAAACAGGGCCCAAAACGGAAAACGGAGCACTTGGAAACATGACTTGCGGATTTTCCTTCACCATTCTTATGGAAGTCGCTTGACATGCCATCTCAACTGCATCCGTTTTCCGTGATGTGTACCGAACACTCACAAATAACATCACGAAAATGTGCCACCGAAAACTACCGTAGTCACTGGACGATTTAGTGCTGCGGCCCTTTAATATGACATCTTTAATTTAGCACATTTACTGGACGTCATCACTTAAGTGTTTCAAGGGTGACGCGAAAACATGTGCAGTAATGGATTTGATCTGGCGTCTCATCAATAGCGCCGTAGAGCACTGCCACTTAGCCACACGGCTGATGTCAAACTAGGTAAGGGCCTACGACAGGAATGCTAATTGAGACAGCACATGTCCTTTGAGACGGTAGATGGCCTCGATGGCTGTTTAATCAATAAGGCGTTAGGTTCAACAAGTGAGGTCATTGAGGACCGTCTATCGGTCCGTGGAATGTTTCCTCCACTTGGCACAATGTGGCTCGGGGAGTGGAGAGGTACTCTGTAAAACGCCTTCTAGGACTAAGCTTGGGCATCAGGGAAGAACTTTGAAGAATATGTGAGTTGCTTGCGCACATCGAAGTCCTTCTCCTGTTTAACGGCTCAGATTACTGGAAAAGAGCGTTCCCGTAATCCTGACGCTGCGTTACGTGGTAGCCTCCCCCCGAGTCCCATTGCACCCACCCACATTTATTTATTCGCATAAGTCTTTAACTTGAAGTTCTTTGATTTATATTTATTTTCAAGTATTCAGATGCCTATGTATGTTCGGTACAACAAATGCCATCTTAAATTAAAGCTACAAGAAACTAGATTCCCTGAAAAATGTTCCGTTCCTTTTTAGGTCGACGAGAATCATCTTCGTTTTTTGTGTTTCATGCTTGTGAAATTACAACATGCTAAAGACATTCAAGAAAAAAAAACTCGCTAGGACCTCGGCGAACCTCTTGTCAGAGACCTCGCTTGAACAGTCAAGAGCCAAGCGAGGCTGCAAACAGATGTTGATAGAGACATGATCTTCGGAAAACCAAAGTAAATCTGAACATAGGGTACGCTTTCAGTCACATACGTAGTTTTTGAAAAGTCAGTGAGGTGCTCAGACAGTGATGAAATAGGGCAAGCTTCTCACTTAAAGCATTATTGGGTCCATCGCCAGGCACAAGGCATCGTGTTGCAACAGTTTCTGTAAAGTGCTCAGTCCTAGTTTGCTTAAAGAGTTCTCCAAAATCACGAATTGCTATCTGAATGACTTTTTTTGACTTTTCTATGTTTTGTACGGTTTTTTGGTCTGGGTGGTGTGAAACAGCAGTGGCCAGGGGGTGAGGATTACCGAGGGCAAAGAGTTCTAACCAGGCAGGTCCTAAAGGAAATGCCACAGCTTTCTCGAAACGGTTTTTTGCATGATATAATGGTACGTGCATGGAACACAGAACTGTGGTTCATTTTTCCTGAGCGACCCTCTGACGAGAGAAAAAAAAAATCCCTCCGTTCTTGACTTTAATCACCAATTTTTAGCCAAAGTCTACGTGTGAAGGTTGCTGATGGCTCTAATTATAGATATGACACACACACTGGTGTGCAAAACTTAAGGACGACATAAATGAAGTAACATAACTTATTGATAGCTTTGTGGACCTTCAACGGTTCCTGCCAATTGCTTTCTGTAGTACACTGTAGCAGCTCTTTCTATGTGTGGTTAGGTTCCTATAGAGTTATGTTACTCGCCAGTAACACGTCATAAAAAAGCTGTGTTCGTCCTTAAGTTTTGCACATCAGTGTATTTGTTTCCGCTGACGCTATTTTTTCGCGAATTTTGAAACGCCAACACAAAATGCAAAAAAATTGTCACTGCGAGGATTCGAACCACGGACCACTTCATCACCCCTTTTTTGGTATTCAGAGGGCCGCTCAGGAAAAATGAACTACAGTTCTGTGTTCCATGCACGTACCCCTATATCATGCAAAAAACCGTTTTCGAGAAAGCTAGCATTTCCTGAAAGGCCTTCCCCGTAAGGTGAACCAATTTCTCATTTAGGCTGAGCGTAGCAGAATGCTTCAGGAAACCAAACAACGTAGAAAACCAAGAAAGGACAGAAAAAAACAGAAATGAAATTCCTTGTATCGCAGGCCGATTTGTGGTTTTTGAC